ATGTTGTCACGATCCACGTTAAGTAAGGGTTAATGCCCGACGAGGCGAGACGGTTGCCTCCGCCGAAGTCCATCAATACCTGACGATGGACACCTCGAAGGGCATTAACCCGCTTATACCACGGTCACTTGCCAAATAACACATTTTTAAAACATTAGTTCATATATTTTAATTAGTTTACAATCGAAATCTAAAGTTTTTACAAACAATAACTTGGTTTCCCTGGTTACGCCTGACGGTTTATTTAGCAACCGGAGATATTTATAGTCTGAGAACCCTTCAGTTTAGCTAACTTACGAGCCAGAAAGCTAACGTATTTTATTTTTCATGTAAGTTAGGCTTGTCTAGCCATGGGCGTTACACTTTCATTTTTTTAACCCTTGTGTTATGTTGCGGGTCAATTTGACCCGTTTCGATTTTCAAGTTGTTGGAAATACTGGTTAACCTTTGTTTTTTTTCTTGATATTTTGTGACTTTTTCTCATTTATCATGATGAACATGCATGCAAAGTTTCAACATGCTGATGTGTTTTGACATATACAAACAAAATTACTGTTACGTTCGTGATGTTCGCGGGTCAATTTGACCCTCATAGACAGCCATTAAAAAACAACTGTACAGACACAAAATAAAAACATTTATTTTCTGTATGTCAGGGCACTTAAACTCCAGTTCTAACGTGCAAGTGCATCTAAAAGTGCTCCAACCCTAACCAAACACACTTGAAAAAGCTAAAATTACAGTGTTCAGAATTATTTGCAAATTACAGATGAAAATCTTTGTCAGACACAGATAGTAAAATAAGCTCTCATTTCAATATTTAAAATATCTAAAATACCTAGCTTTTAACCAAAATTTTTTATGTAGGATTTTCAAAGGCAGCTTCACAGAGCCAAAAAATGAATAAAAAACATTTATTTGATGTATGATTTTGTTATGTTTGGTTTCTCACTTCCCAGTGAGTGAATAATGAAACTAGGAAAATAGGTCTTAGGAAACTAGGGAAAGTTAACTTAGGAAAATGAAAAAATTTCATTATACAGCAATTTTTTTTGTTCAGTTACGATGTTCAAAGCATAAAATGTAAAAAAAAAAAAAAAAAAAAAAAGTTAAAAAAATATATGCAAAAAAAATCAGTATACTGTTTATTTCCCAATTTTGTCAAAACAAAACTGTTTTAAAAAATGTTTTAAAAACATTTTCATAAATCATATTTTCAGATATAATGTTTTTGTAATGTTTGACAAATGTTGATATTAAAAGTTTACAGTTTGTATCTAAATCTTTGTCGTTTTTCATAGTGTGATTTTTGAGGAATTGTATTGAATCCAATTAGGGTCAATTTGACCCGGTCCATAAGGGGTGTACACAGAAATCGAACAGAACACAAGGGTTAACCTATAATACGCTGATTTCACCCAGCCGCCATTTTGAAATCGCTCCGGCCGGGAAGAAAACCGGAAGTGTCGCCTTTAATCACAGGAGTACACAACGTATTGTTGTGTTTAATGTAGAAATGAGTTATTCTAAAAATGTACATACATTTCTTTCATACTTTAGACTATATACAGTGAAATTCATTTATAAATAAAACATTTTTTTATATATAATTCAGAACGTAAAAAAAGAAGCAGGAACGAACTATATAGATATCCTATATTGGATATTAACATCCAATAGTGTAAATCGCGGCAGCAGCTTCAGGTTGGTAGTCCAAGGCACTGTTGTCTATCTGTACTTCCGGGGTTCTTCCCATCGGAGCCTCGCTTTCGATTTCAAAATGGCGGCAGCGTGAAATCTGCGTATTAAAACACACAGGTAGGCATAGTATAACGGCTAACTAGATGTTTGTTTTGATACAATAAATTGGAACCAGATACTTTGACTGCCTGTTGCTATGGTTACTCACAGTGTATTTATTTATTAATTTCGAACGGTAAACAGTCAGTTTCACCAGAACTCCTTTACTAGGTGTCCTCTATCACTTTTTAATTCAGCCATATTATATATATATAATACATATTAATGCATTTTTGTGTTGCGATGTATAGTGCGTGTCCGGCCTCACCTGTGTCTCCCTCCTCAGAGAGCACGTTTGCGGAGAGCGTGGGCTCCAGCGTCCTGAGCGCCGCGCGACTCAGTGCCTATCTCCCGCAGAGCAACCACGACTCGGCCAACTACAGCAACAACCAGCTGGAGACCAACCAGGCCGCCGCCGCCAAGTTCGCCACGCTACACCTGAGCAACTGCAACACGCTGATCCCCGTCTGCGGCTCCTCGACGCCCTCGTCCTCCAGGCCGAGCCGAGGCCCGCTCGACACACACCTGCACTTCCACCCGGTGCGGGGGCCCGACGTGGTGCTCTCGAACGACCGCACTGTCGCGTGCACACACTTTCTGGACAGCAGCCGGACTCTGATGTTCAGCGACCGGCCCGTTCGGGTGGGCGAGACTCTTTACGTCGAGGTGGGGCATTTGGGGTTGCCGTACTTCGGGGCTCTTCTCTTTGGCATGACCTCTTGTGACCCTGGCAGCCTCAGCGCGGGGGACCTGCCGGCCGACCCGGAGGTGCTTCTGGACCGTAAGGAGTATTGGGTGGTGTACAGGGGCTTCCCGGTGCCGGCGGCCGGAGACGTGCTCAGCTTCACCTTCATGCCCAGCGGAGAGGTGCATCATGGGGTCAACGGCGGGGCGAGCGCTCGGCTCCTGTGTGTCGACTCCTCTCAGGTTCTGTGGGCCTTCTTCACGCTCCACGGGGCCGTGAACCGACTCAGGATATTAGGTAGGATTCATTGAGAAACAGAAGTTATCACATGAGACAGTCAAACAAACCACGAATTATTCAGACACCAGATATAATGGTCACACTTTACAATAAAGTTCATTAGTTAACATGAACTAAGAATGAACAATACTTGTGCAGCATTTATTAATCTTAGTTAATATTAATTTCAACGTTTACTAATACGTTATTAAAATCAAAGGTTGTTTTTGTTAACATTAGTTAATGCACTGTGAACTAACATGAACACATAATGAACAGCTGGATTTTCATTAATAAATATTGTAACAAATGTTTTGCTCATTGTTAGTTTATACTTTAACTAATGTTAACTAATAAACCTTATTGTAAAGTGTTACCGAAATATTTTTTTATATTTCTTTACTAGTGTGTGCCGGACACTATAGTTCATTTATGTGAGTGAGGAGAGCAGAATAAAGTAAACTGTGACATATTACACCCATAAACTCTTCACACAGTGACTACCAGTAAAAATTTGGGAGCAAAAATGATTCCTCCACTTTGAGCTGATCATGTTTTGCTGAAGTGTGTTTTCTGTAATTGCTAATGCTCTTTTTACACACACACTGAACAACATGAAGCATTGCTTGGTCACTGGTTGAGCTAAACTGGTATTCTCTAATTGTGTAGTTAAATTGAACAGCTGACAGATATTCAACATAATTCATGTGTGAGAGTCTAACAGAAGGACGGACAAAACCAGTCAAATATCCACTGATCTGAGAACTCTGAGTTCTGCTCATGTTTATCACCATTTTCTAAACTATAGCGAATAAACTGATACTGTGAGAAATGTTGAAGGTGTCTGAATACATTTTGGTTTGCCTGTATAGTTTATCACATGGTATGTTTTTACACTACCGGTCAGAAGTTTAAAACATCCATTCATTCTGTTCTTCTTTCTAGAATTTCTCTATCTAGAATCTAGGTTTCTTTCCAGAATAATAGTGAAGTCATCAAAATGATGAAATAACACAAATGGAAGCATCATAAACATGTCATGTCAAGTCACATTTACTTATATAGCGCTTTGGTAACACTTTACTTGAAGGGGTGTGCATAAGACTGACATGACACCTTCATAACCATGACATGACACAGGAGGGTTTATGCATGTTTATGACAACTGTCATTAAGTGTCATTCGCTCAATTATGACATTTTTAATGCAAATATGACATTGTTTGAGATGTCTTTGTTATGACAACTTGACATAAACCAATACATCATAACCTGTCAGTGTCTTTGTCATGACAATTTGACATTATCAAGATATCATAAATTGTCATAAATATGTCATAAACATGACATAGCAGATTAATTATCAAACTTAAGAAAGCACTTAGCTTTATGGGTTAACATTACATTAAACTGTCATGTGGTTGGTTTTGACATTGGCTGTCATGAGGCCGTTATAACTGTGTCATGAATATTTTTCTTGACCTCAACTACAGTGGTACAGATTGAATTTGTAATTAACATGTTATAATGGCCTCATGACAGCCAATGTCAAAACCAACCACATGACAGTTTAATGTAATGATAACCCATAAAGCTAAGTGCTTTCTTAAGTTTGATGATTAATCTGCTATGGCATGTTTATGACAGGTTGTGTTGTGTTAGTAATGTCAAGTTGACATGACAAAGACACTGACAGGTTATGATGTATTGGTTTATGTCAAGTTGTCATAACAAAGACATCTCAAACAATGTCATATTTGCATTAAAAATGTCATAATTGAGCGAATGACACTTAATGACAGTTGTCATAAACATGCATAAACCCTCCTGTGTCATGTCATGATTATGAAGGTGTCATGACAGTCTTATGCACACCCCTTCAAGTAAAGTGTTACCCAACAGGGTTTGTTTCGGCTGTACAGCAGATCTAGAAGAAAACAGTGTCATAGTCCAGGTTCATTTGTGTGTTATGAGCCAGCTGTGCAGTGTTAATAACTTTCTGTATAGCTGCTTTATTGCTGGAAAAGACATCGCACTCCAGGGTTCCTCGCCCCGTAACTAATACATTCAAACAGGTCCAAAAGTCGACTTTATTTCAGGATGACGCTTTTCCTTTACCCGTGTTCCTAAATAATTCCCTCGTGCCACATTAGGTGATTCAGAACAGCATGGCATTCTGCAAAAAGCAGGGAAAATGCGATGGAAAACTGTTTTCTGTTCCATTCATCTCAGTGCACATGATTATATCAGACGAAGAGCATGCAGTCCTAACATGTGTGAGGGCCATGGGACAATCGCATTGATTTGGACACATTAATGTCCTTATATTACTGTATCGAAAACAGAACATGATATTCCTCCCTGGAATGGAAATAGGAATATGCTGCCTAATTTTAGTCATAAGAAACAAGAGGCCATGCTACAGTTGTAACCGAAACTATTCAACCCCCATTGCATATGCAAATCAGGTTTATTGGCCAAATTTACACACTTTCAGCTGTTTGCAATGATCAAATCAAACAAAAGTAATTGAAATAGCTCAACACAACAAATGTTTCAAGTTGTTTCCCCAAATTCAACTGAAAATGCAACTTTTAATGACTTTGGCTGTCTCAAAATTATGATTACAACTGCATATTGCATTTCATTTCAGTGGTGGAACAAGTTATTACATTATGATAAACATTTGATTATTGTTTTTCTTTGGGACCATAATAATAATTCTATACAGTTCTATGCTAACACAGTAGATAAACATGTGATCATGTCATAGCTGATATGATATTGTATTTTAGCAAGGCATGTGTGCTGTACTGACCAACACGCCAGTAAATGAACTATATTACATGTATGTTAGACTTAATTTTATCTATACACATTCTTTAATATTGTGTTGTAGTCAGCTGAAGGAGATTTGATGGTGGTTATAATAACGATGATGTGGTAAATGTTGCTCTGTGTGTCCGTCAGGAACGGTTCAGGCCAGCGCCCCCACCTCCCCCTCAGTGTCTCAGGGATCAACGGCTGACGACAGCGACTCAGATCTGGCTTTCAGTGTCAACAGATCCTCGTCAGCATCCGAGTCGTCTCTGGGTGAGTCTCACACATCAGCTCACATTCACAGGCCAAAGGCTCATATCAGCAAATGACTGATTAGAGTCGGCATGACATTCATTTTCATGTTCCACCCTGCTTCTAAATGCATGTTACTGATCTCATAGTGACTGATTCATCCGTGCGTGTTTCATTTTTAATGTTCAACTGAAATGTCACCGCTGGATCTTCCAAGATCTTCTCTTATGACATATGCAGGTTTTCTCCACTCATTGATTCCTCTTAAGCTCATCTTGAGAGCCACGCCCACATCTCAACATCCAATCAACAGCCGGTGGACATAACCAAGTCCCGCCCTATACTTATTTCTTTTTCTGTTTGCATGTCACATTACGGGATAAAAGATCTGTCGCTACTTCCTTTTCATCGTGACTTTAGCAGAGCTGTAGAAGTTTGTTTTTAAACATTACATGTTTCACCAGCAAATTTCGACATTAAAAACTTCAGCCACGCATCACTTTCACTATTGCTCAACTATTGGCCCTGGTGTGTTTTGGTGGATCGGATCACAAGTATGCGAGGGAGACTCATTCCCGTTCACACCTGGCGTTTTAATCCGTCTCTTTTGTCCACTTTCATCCACTTCTGTCCTGATTTCTTCGAGGGGAGGGTCTATGGGCGGGTGAATGTGTGTTTTTTCCCCAGATATTTCGATCTAACCAAACTCAGGTCTCCAGCCGAGGAAGTTTAAATCCCGTCTGGCTAGAGCGCTTCCCATAATGTTTATGCATTTAGACCCCGTTCACACCTGTATTTAGTGTCACTTGTGATCCGATCAAACAAAACGCATCTTAATACCAGGTGTAAACAAGCCAGAACACCCTAGCAACCACAGAGCAATACCCTAGCAACCGTGCAGAACACCCTAACAATCAGGCTGCAATGCATATCTCATTTTCCCATATCAACCATTTTGGGCATTTTGCTGTAAAATGCTATCTTTTACGTACGCATTAGCATATCGTTACAAAACTCGCTAAGTGTCACTGTGCCCTGAAGCTACTCAAGAAGTTTCGAGACTTTACATTTACAATTATGCATTTGGCAAACGCTTTTATCCAAAGCGACTTACATTACATTTTCAAGGTACACATTTACATTCTTATTAGTTCTTGCTTTCCCTGGGAATCGAACCCACGAACCAGCGCTCTACTGTTTGAGCTACAGACAGACTTGTGGTTGAGTTATAATGAAATTTAGCAAAATGCTAATAGCTTTTGATTCATTTAGCCTATTGTAATGAAACTGTTCTCAGTAGATGCCTTGGGTCATAGATACCAAACTCGCTATAGTCGGCCCAACTTCCTGTCCGACATTTTTATTTTCTTTACTTTTCTTTTTCTTTTGACTCCTCCACCAAATTCAAGTCAGGTATAGATTTCATATCGATAGACGCAACTGAAACCCGAAAATGTTGTATACCCCATCAACAAATGTGATGGCATAATGCCAAACTACCCCTGAGGGTGTATCCCGGGAAAGATTACACATATTGATACTAAACTTTATGTGTGTAATTGTTACCCAACCCTGACCACACCAGATCAATTAGGTGTTAGCGACATCTATTGGTCAAAACTAATAAGCAATTATGTCACATAACAAGTGATTGTATATATGTGCTTTCAGCTTTCATCTCCAAATGTCTTTGCTCATTGTTGCAGTTGGTCTGATGCTCGCTAGCTCCTCATTCTGCCTCTGTGGTGCTATATTTAATGTTTCAGTTAAATAATTTGTTATTTTAAAGGTGCAGTGTGTAATTTTTAGGAGGATCTGTTGACAGAAATGCAATATCATAAAGATAACTATGTTTTCAGTGGTGTGTAAAGACCTTACATAATGAAGCGTTATGTGTTTATTAGCTTAGAACGAGGCGTTTCTCTCTACACACACCGCGGGTCCGCTTACACACACATGTTTCTACGGTGGCCCTGAGCGGACAAACGCGTTTCGTCACTATGTTGTTCTTCATGATGAGAAGCTGCTAAAGTCAGCGAATAAAACACTGACACAATGATGAACAAGTAACAATAACATATCATTTTACTGAATAACTAAGTAAACCTAATTTCTAGTGCTGTCAAACGATTAAAATATTTAATCGCGATTAATCGCATTAATGTCATAGTTAACTCACAATTAATCGCAATTAATCACACATTTTTATCTATTTTAAATGTCTCTTGATTTCTTTTTGTCCCATTTTTTTTTCTCATTTTAATGCTCTTATCAACATGGAAAAGTGGATCGGCTTGCTTTGTGCAAACGTTTTTATTGAAAACAACATTGACATATACTGTGTTCAATTTCACACTAACATTCTCACTTGGAGCAAATAATCTCTCACACAATGTAACACTGTCCATCAATAAAAGGGTGAAAGAAATACAGACGAGGTCCTGATATTGACGAGGGGGCGGAGAATTCGCATCAGCTGTGTATGTGTGTGTGTGTGTGTGTGTGTGTGTGTGTGTGCCATCATCAAGTGGTATTTCAGACTGGACGTGCTGCGATGATGATAGCTCAGTTCACAACGGCACAACACACAGATCACTTTGGTCTCGTCAATGGAACCATTTGGCAACTTTTTAAAAGTAAACTTTCCATTCAGAATCTTATCGGCATCCATTTCGGCGTCTCGCGCTCGTCATCCACTCAAAACGTAACGTTAACCAACTATTTATTTGGCCGTCTCGCAAGCCCAAACAAGTGTGTGCGGCGTGCCTGCTGTTTTGTTTCCGGTCTAGCTAGATCCGCTTTCGCTTTGGTCGACGAAGCAACAAAACGTCCTCGCGCGGCGCTAGCCATTGAAATGAATGGGTTTCATAGCGCAGCGCCGCGTCCTGTTGCAAAAGCATGTGAGAAAGTTTGCTAGGCCAAAAAGGCCGTTAATCGCGCAATAAATTTTTTTACGCCGTTAAAATGGGTTTGTGTTAACACCGTTAATAACGTGTTTAACTGACAGCCCTACTAATTTCTTAATTTATCTTTGTAAAGAAACCTCATTGCTGAACTGGCTACTCTCTGCTGTCTCAGACGACGACATCACTTCCTGTCGGCCAGCGTAACTTCTGTTGGGTGCAATTCACAACCTCACCACTAGATGCCGCTAAAACTTACACACTGCACCTTTAACATCCAGAAGTGCCGTTCTGTGCCGTGATAGGCTCTCTCAGCAGCTTTACTGTGTGTTGTGTTTCAGTGACGGCTCCCAGCTCTCCTCTCAGTCCTCCCGTCTCACCCACCCTGTCCTTGTGCGACGCCCCTCTGAGCACCAAGAGCAGCGAGTGCACCGTGTGCTTCGACCAGGAGGTGGACACCGTCATCTACACCTGTGGACACATGTGTCTGTGCAACGACTGCGGACTGAGGCTCAAGAGACAGACCAACGCATGCTGTCCCATCTGCCGGAGACCCATCAAGGACGTCATCAAGACCTACAGACCCTGAAGGGGCGGGAACCTTTTCTATCCGT